AAACAACAATACAAAACTTGGGAAAGGATTTTGAATTACATACTAGCTATATAAACCCATGCACCAACCAATGCAATCAATTTTAATGTTTACCCTCCAAGTAAAATAGACACGTTCACTTTGTCACGTGCCGCAGATGCCTGATAGTCCCAGGTCATGTTCCGATATTGCTGACATTACTATAGCCACAGTAAATTTAGGAACACTACACAGTAGCAGTAGCTTTGAATTTTCATCTCATTCAGGAACGATTTTGGCAGTACTGGTACCCTGTTAGCAAAACATAACCATAATCAAAGATCGCACGATTTTTGATGTTTCATTTTGTTGATTTTCATTTTCATCAGTCTTATGATTATCTTCTTCACTCACGTTGAAATTATGGATGGAGTGGTTAATCATATTATCTCAGAAGACATATTATCCGATAGTGATTCTGATTCATCAAAAACACCAAGCTCTTGTACCTCTATATAAACTGCTCATCAATATTTTCGCGAAAATTCCACTTATTTGGATGCGGTTTTCCCAATTCTGAAGATTGATCCATTGGGTATATGACAGATAGACCGCTGATGGAAATATATGGTAACCTCTGGCTATACAGGGTGACAAACAAACCTCTGCAAAATATTGAAAAATTCTCCATACTCCCAATTTGATGGAAAATTTTTGAGATATTTTTCGAGTATATTTTCATAATTCTCGAGCATATTCCTCCAAATGGTTTCGCAATTTTTTTCTTATCTTTCCAGATTTTCGAAAAAAAGATTTTTTTTAGAAAAATGTGGTCATTTGTACTACTTACCAGAAATATTCTTATTTGTAGCTCAAATATCAGAGATTTTCTCTTGGATAAGTTATTGTGACCTTTATTGTATGAAATTCTATATTGTTTATTTACAGAGTGTTTGCAACAATATTTGATAGATATTATTACAGGAAGACCGAGCACAACACATTGATCAACTTGTATAGTGTTCGAGATTGAATGAAAGCAACTTTCCTTGAAGTTGAAGAATATACAGGGTGATATACCAAGATTGAAAGGAAACTTTGAGAGTTCAAGAATGTATGTGATATATCAATGAATTCTTACTCATCTCTCTTACTCTCACTCATCATTGGAATGTTGCTCAGTGTAGAATATACGGGTTGAATCTCAATAACCAAGCTTATTTCTCTGTATAGAAATATTGATCATGGGCTTCACAACATGCCAATTGGGGAGTTGACATGTGGAGAAACTGTTCATTCACAGATGAATCCAGAATAAACCTGTACCATTCTGATGGTCGGATATCAATTTGGCGAAGACCTAATGGTATCGTAAGAAGGTATGAGCCCCCAAGAAGCATTTGGTGGCGGAGGAGCTACGATATGGGGGTTCGTAACACTTACAGGACGAACCGAGCAGAAGTGTACAGAGACAGATGCATTCTGCCTGTCATAGTGCCATTTGCCTAAAACTTTGGTGATGATTTGGCCCTTGTTGATGACGATGCGAGACCACATCGAGTACGAATCATCAACCATTTATTGCAAAGACTCTGGAATGGCCACCCAAGTCACCCGATTGTAATCCGATTGAACATGTGAATTGAACGTTTGAAGTTACAAAGACGATCGAGATCGAATCAAATCGAAAATATCAATCAACTGATAACTGCCATTGAAGAGGGATGGGAGCGCATTCAACATGAATTCATTAGGAAATTGATAGAAAGTATGCCGCGAAGATGTGAAGAAGTGTTGAGGGTGCGAGAGGAACCTACCAAATACTGAACAATATTTTTTTTTTCATTTCAGTGTTCATTGTTTCATTGTTTTGAATTAATACATCTCAGTTCTTGCGTTGTTTCACTTTTTGAGTAAACAAAGTCAACTTCTCCAAAATTTCTATTCAGAGGAATAGGCAGGTTATTGTGAATCACCTCGTATATTCTTCTTTGAGCAACATTCCAATTATGAGTAACAATAAGAGAGATGAGTAAGAATTCATTAATATATCACATACATTTTTGAACTCTCAAAGTTTCATTTTATGAAACTTTCATCAATCGTGGTATATCACCCTGTTTATTCTTCCTCCCGTTTTTCTTCTGCAACTTCAAAGAAAGTCGCTGTCATTCAATCTTGAACACTATACCTATACAATTAAGTTGATCAATGTGTTGTGCTCGGTCTTCCTGTAATCATATATATCGAATTATGTTTGCCAAACACTCTGTATATAAAAAATATAAGATATAATACAATAAAGGTCACAATAACTCATCCAAGAGGAAATCTGTGATATTTGTGCTACAAATAAGAATATTACTGGTCAGTAGTACAAATTATCACATTTTTCGAAAAAAATTCTTTTTCACGAAAATCTGGAAAGATAAGAAAAAAATAGCGGAACCATCTCGATGAATAGGCTTGAGAATTATGAGAATATGCTCGAAAGAAATCTCAAAAATTTTCCATCAAATTGGGAGAATGGAGAATTTTTCAATATTTTGCAGAGGTTTGTTTTTCACCCTGTATAGCCAAAGGTTACCATGTATTACCATCAGCGGTCTATGCATGCCATATGAATAAAGAAAACCGCATCCGCATAAGTGGAATCTTCGAGAAAATATTCAATGTTGAATTTGGAGCAAAAATATGCTTCATTCAGTTCGATTGATCAGTAGTTTAGTTCCACTGATGAAGAAATGAAGCCTAGCTGTTGAATATTTGATATCAGATGAGAAAATTGTAGATTGGTAGCAGTTTCTGCGTCTACTGCCACTATGCGATCTTCCAGCTCGACTTCATACATTTGCCCATAGTATTTCAAAACAATTATTCAACCTATAACATTTCAGGAATACTAGAACTACATCACCATTCCTGCACCAGTGGCCAACAGTAAACTTTTAGCCTCTAACAGGGTTCCTTACAATGACCCGCGAAAACGTTGCGAGTAAATTTCAGTAGAATCGGAACGATTTAATATACTGGCATCGTTAAGCACTTCATTTGATTCAACTAACTAACCATCATTGGGATTAGAAGACAAAGTTGTGTGAGAAAAATTTTGATATAGTTATTTCCCTGTTTTTTTTTTTGAAAATTTGTTTTGGTACTTACGTATTTTTGTCTGAAAAACACGAATTTCATAATGAAAATGTGAACAAACCACTATTTATATCGAGATATTTCAAGAAAAAGTTCGAAATTTTGCCTTCTTTCCCCCCTTGTGTTGGATGCATTCACAGGTACTTGCTCTTTTTATTTTGTCATTGGACACTTTATGTACTTCAACGACACATTTTAAGGTGAATATTCAACAGGAAATATGATTTTTATGGCGAGTTTTTCCTATTTAGTGAGCAAGCATACCAGATGACGGCCATTTAATCCATAGGCAATCCAAGATACGAGATGTCAAATGTCAATAGATTGCTTTGGAATGACATTCTTCCTTCTTTTAACTAAATATGGATAAATCGCATGCGATCCAGAAGACAGGCGGAAAAGAAGGTGAAATTTGTAACTTCATAGTGAAATATCTTGATAAATAATGGTTTGTTCACATTTTCATTATGAAATTCGTGTTTTTCAGACAAAAATACGTAAGAACCAAAAAAAAATTTCAAAAAAAAATCCCATCGCATGATAAGTGCAATATTACCATTTTCCTTCACAAAGTGTTACCTTTCGTAAGAGTTTTTTTGTCCCATACGGTATACATTTCTTCAAATATATGCACGAAATTCTTTATATGACATGCTATTGAGTTGTTCATTATATAGGCCGTATTCATGGAGAGTCTATAGAACATCATTGTGTTCGTGTGCTGAGAGGTGGTTTGTCGAGGAGTAGTTTCAATACACACTTTCTCATTTTCGAGAAATTGCGTGTATAAATAGAGTTGGGATACTCCGTACTATATCTATTCAGATATGCATACAATGCTACTACTAGATGTAGATCTATTTTTGAAATTTTGCTGTCATTCGCTGGTCCAGGGGAGGCGCGATCCCCTCTGGATCCGCCACTGGTAGATCATTTCCTATTCATATTATTACGCCACTGATATGTGTTCCGGTAGAAAATGTAATAGTTTTATTTTCATACTTTCAGTTTGTTTTCAGATTTGTGACTTGTGCCTTTTGCCTTTTGAAGCGGATGAACACGACTTTGTCTTATGAATATAAGCGTGACTCACGTGACTGTGGGTAAATAGGTAAGTCATGTTATACGTATACCGTGAACCAGGGTGACTTTAGTACGGTTTTCCATGTGTTTCCCAAATAAAACTGGATTTTGCAATAATAACTGGGTTTTGAGTACCGAATGGCGAGGCACCAACACCCATCCAAGTATTAGTACAAAAACATCGTTTATTCATTTTGATAATCGATATATTTGGCCCCAATGTGAACCTCGCCATTTGTGGTGACTTGGAAGATTTCTCAAGAAGTCATGGAAACCATCCATCCTTCTCAAAGTGGTCCATATTCTTTCAAAGAAAGAACAAATTAACACTAAGTCGGTCGACCACAAAGTTTTATTACAAAAATTGACTTCTTGTGACTAGTTTCGGCTCAAACAACTATCTTCAGAAACAATACACAGTACCTGAAAAGATATTCAGTTTACAAGAATAATAAGATATTGAGAAACAAACATTCCTATAAGGCCACGTGGAAATCACATAATAAAATTGAATTCAAAATATCAAAGAGCCGTGGTCATTTGGCCAAAAATCAGTCCTGTAAAGGAATGTTAAAATTTTTGAACCGACTGAACAGCCAAAAGAACGCAACTATCATTAGGTCCGACATTGGCACAAACTGGGGAACATTAATAATTAATTCACTCAAAGGAGTTTCATCTTCAAATGGGCGTTTTTGTGGAAGACAAATCCAAGGAGGAGGTGAAGTGTCAAGCAACAGACGTTGACAGAATACAAGACAAATGACTGTGACAAATGATACGAACCAAAGGACAAGTACAATTGAGAGTAAATTTTGAACATTATGAGTTATGATACTATTACAAATAATTTCTGAAAAGTGAATTAATAACGAAGCCCATTATGCCTTGAAACCTAAAGGAGAAGTACGTGGTGAATATTTGGAATTTTATTTATTATGTGATTTCCACGTGGCGTTATAGGTATGTTTGTTTCAAAAAATATCTCATTATCCTTGTGAACTAAATATCTTCACAGGTACTGTGTATTGTGCCTGAAGAAGGTTGTTTCAGCCAAAACTAGTCACAAAAAATCAATTTTTGCAATGAAACCTTCGTGAAGTTTTTCTTCTGAATAATTTGTATGATTTGTCGCACCAAGTAGACAGTGGGGCTTGCGATACATTAGTTCTAAAACGAATTAGCCTCGGAATTAGCGAATTTTGAAAAAAATTGGACCATTGTAACTTTGGTACACCACGGTTTTTGAATTGAAAATTCCAAAGTAAATATATCCCCAGTCTAACATGAGAGAAAATATTAAGAAATTCAAGATGGTGGATCCAATATGGTGGACGAGTTTTGTGATTATAATCCGATTCCATTCGAAATTTGTATCTTGGGGTTTTTGCCGTCGGAGATTATGATTCTTCTGTCAAAATTGGAGAAACCAAGATGGCGGATCCAATATGGCGAACGAGTTTTGAAATTATGAACTGATTATTTCATTCGAGAATGGTATCTAGAGGTTTTTGGGGTCAATGATTATGATTCCTCATCGTCATAATTAGAGAATTCAAGACGGTGGATCCAATATGTCTAACGAGCTATGTAATGAATAGTGTTTAGAAAAACTAATGAAACACGCTTTCATAGATAGCAAAACTAAAGAGAAGTAGAAAATTTATAGTAGTTCAAAAATCTAAAGAGATAGATTACCGAACTGAAAAGAAGTAGAAAATAAATAGAGGTTTGAGAAAATAAGAGAACACGCTTTATTATTTTATCAAAAATGAATGTTTTTGTCAGTATGTCCTTTAAAGAATCGTAAACGGCTTGTCCATTTCACAAAATCTTTTTTTGTTGTGTTTTTCATCGCCAGGAGAAGGTTCCTACGAGAGAAAAAATTAAGAGATTCAAGATGGCGGATCCAATATGGTGGACGAGTTTTGTAATTATAATTCGATTCCATTCAAAATTAGTTTCTTAAAGTTTTTGCGGTCGGAAATTATGATTCTTTTGTCGAAATTGGAAAATTCAAGATGGCGGATCCAATATGGAGGACGAGTTTTGTAATTATAATCTGTTTATATTCAAAATTGTTATCTGAAGATTATGAATTCTGTTGTAAAATTCGGAAAATTTAAGATGGCGGATCAAATATGGCGAACGAGTTTTGAAATTATGATCCGATTCTATTCAAAATTGGTATCTAAGTATGTAATAAATAGTGTTTTGAAAAACTAACGAAACACGCTTTCATAGATATCAATACTAATAAGAAGTAGGAAATGAATAGTTAGTAGTTTATAAAACTAAAGAGATAAATCACGGAACTGAAAAAAAGTAGGAAAAAATATATAGTACCCAGTTTGAGAAAATATGAAAACACGCTTTAATGCTTAGTCAAACTAAACAGAAGAAGACAAAAGTGTGTTGTTGAATATTCAAAAGGAAAAATATATTCTATACATAGAAAAACTACGTTTGCGGGCAGATATAATGAATGAAATGACTCGAAATAAATTCAATATTTGTGTACTGTCTTTCCACAAAATTTATTTTCGTAAGTAGCGTTCTAGCAACGCGCGCAGGGTACAGCTAGAAATAATTATAAGAATAAATAAATTGTATTTGAAGGAATACTACCATAACAGGGTGTCCCATAAGTCATGGATCAATAGAATTGGGGTGGTAGGAGGGGTCATTTGCAATCAACGGTATACAGGGTGAGTCAAAAATGTGTACCGAGCTTTCTAGGGGTGATTGTACATTGAAAAATAAGTGTTGAATATTGAAGGAGATATACCCTCCCAAAGTTGAAAAAATCAAAATAATTTCTCCGCATAACTTCAAAACGATAAAAGCCACCCGAATAAAATGTTGTGCATGAATATATATTGTCAAAATACTGTAATGGAGATATATATCACCTTGTGTGATAGGGGGTTGTCAAGTGACATTAGGGATGAATGATTAGTATGTCAAGAGTTCAATAATAGTTATTTATGCAACAAGTGCAAAAAGTGAATGTTTATTCGCCTGACGGCCTCGTCGGACAATTTCACGTCGAGTGCAATAAACAATTTTTGCACGAGTTGCATACAACATTTTTTCTACGTTCATGCAAAAAGCAAAAAATGATTTATTGAGGTGCGGCACTAGGTACAATTCTGTTAATTGTCAGAATGAATTTCTGACTGACGTTTCTATAACCACAGTTGCAATATAAAAAATGTTTGTCATGATGACAGCACGTTGAAGTAGAATGACAGATGAGTGCAATAAAAACTTTATTGCACTAAGTGTAATAAAGAACTTATTTTTCCACTAAATATAGTTCAATAAAGTTCTGCTTTTTGCATGAATGTAGAAAAAAGTATTTATACGAATCCACGTTCATTAATGAATTGCTCTTGAAGCCAACACAGTACAAATACATTTTTTCGTTACATTTCCACATTTATGATATTGGTATAAAGGGTGATTTTACAGGGTAAGTCATGATTTTTTGAAGGAAACTTTTCAGGAAGATTTTATCAGAACGACTATACATCATAAAAAATTCAATCTATTTGGATCATCCTCTAGAACATTGATTTTTCAGAATCATAATGAAGTTCTTTCCTCAAAAGAAAAAAAAATCCTTGACTATGATTTATCAGTTTTGTTGTTTGCAGATAATGAATATTATTACCTATAGCTTTTTGTATTGAAAAACATCCCTATCAAGGGGATCTCTAAGAAAAAATTGTCTGAGTACTTCCACAGAATAAGTAAGAAGTATGGAACGAACTAGATATTCATACCAGTTAAAACTGTTCGATTTGATTGTACTCCTTTGAGAAAATATCCCAGTTTCACTGTACTACTTTCCAATTAAATTTTCAAAGAATGATAATCAATAAACCATTGCTATGGTTAGGTCCAGATGATTTCATGACATCCACTACATTTTCCTACAAGCGTGCGTGTTTCACCGTATACCCGCAGGCAATTTATTTCAATTATTAATGTGTAATAGAAGACGAAAAAAAAACGAAATTAAAATGAATGTTTCATTGAAAAACTCATCATTTTGAAAGATATATTGAACTCTGAAGTTTCCCTAAAAATTCCGTGAATCATTGTTCATAAATAGGTAGCCGAATCCAAGCGTTTGCCTTTGGCAAAGTCAGGAGCACCATACAATGTTGCTGGTAGATGAAAGATATATGTACCCGGTGAACAACTAAGAACGGCTGTCGGCCATATCTCAACAACGAATAATGATACAAGTTTGAGATAGAATAAATCTAATGATATGCATTTATCATTACATGATGTAATAGAGAACCTAAATCTCAATAGACCAACGAAAACCGCAACAAGATAGCTTTTCGCCAACGGAAGATATTAACTATCAAAGTTGGAAGAATGATAGATATAACAGCCGTTCTTAGTTGTTCGCCCGGTATTACCCAGCGAGCACAGTTCTTTTTAAAGCCTTTTCATGGACACAACAAAACATTTTCAACGCGTCTTGCGCACATTAAATCGCTGTAAAAAAAAACATTTTCGAGGTACTTTTCTGAAACCTTTTGTCAAAATGAACTTTTGCATTATAGGATTCCATTTCCCTTGAATGAAAAAATGCATTAAAAA